CCACAATTCGGCATCACCAGAAACACTATCAGAAACCCAGGCCCTCAGGTCCAACTTCAGAATAACAGGATTCAGTGCCTGCATTCATCATGGTCTTATGATTCAAATGCAAATTAGTTTCAGGTGCACACCTAGAAAGAATCCCATATTACAGTCTATCAGATATTGCTTAATAACTTTGCTATAGAAAACATTTCTTTGCAACTTGAAGCAATATTCATCTTTAGTCAAAGGAAGAGATTTCAAGATAAAATGTCCTTATTTGTTACTTTTGTTATTTTGTTTTCTGAGGTGATCTTCATGGCCTAAAACTCCTCACCCTCCTGCCTGCACCTCTGCAGCTACAGAACTACAGGACTGCCTGAGGCTGAACACCTCCTCTGAGGCAGAGGCAGGCCCAAACATACAAACTGTCCAGGCCTGCCATCTAGTGGTAGCTCATTGAGATGCACAGCCCCGCGTCTTCTCAGTCTAAAACAGCACCAGCTTTTATTTTCTCTTGATCCCTTTCCTAAAACGCTAAATTTTCTTTGCTTTGTCTGGTTAATTCTAAGTAACTTTCAAGTTAAAAGAATGATTGACACTTGAGTGGTTCCAGCATGCACCAGAACCCTGAGCCAGCCCCACTACACAGCCAGTTCCAGCCAGTTCCAGCCTGTTCCAGCCAGTTCCAGCCAGTTCCAGCCTGTTCCAGCCAGTTCTAGCCTGGTCTAAATGAGACCTTGACTCCAAAAATGCAGAACATACAAACAAAAGAGAGCAACACCCTCACTGCCGGAGACACCAGGCTTGGGAAGGGACTCTTTTCAAAGGAATGCAACTTGAAAGTGACTCGGCTTCTTTTCCTAAGGGCTACACATTCTACTGCTTAGTTCATACATCAAGAAAACCACATCCTACAGCCACCAGGCTTCATCATTTCTACATTCTGGCAAACTTTTTCCCCGTGTCTGGGACTGAACACAGGGTACAAGCATACCACCTACCTTCTTTCAGGCGACAGGGTCTTCTTAGCCCAGTCTAGCCTTTGGTTCACAAAGCTGACCTGGAATTCCCAATTCTCTGGCCTCCACCTCCTTCTGCTTCAAATTGTAAAATGTTTTGTTCTCAACCAAAGCCTGTAAAAATGGTCTCTCACACTTTGTTGAAAGTCACCCTTTAAATGTGAGACACAATTCAAGAGCTAAGAGGACAGGGTCACATAAGCATCAGGTGAGATCTTGTTTTCAGCTTGTAGGACCCAGCCATGACAAGCTCAATAGAGGCCTGAGGCTCAGTAGTTTACCCTAAGGCAATACCTGATTCTAAGAAAGACCACAAACTGAGACCACCCAGAAACAGACCATCCAAAGGAAATTCTTAACGTTCCAAACGTTGTAGATAGGATCACCTGCCAGCACACACCCATCACTTTTTTCCAGGACACCCCAGACAAATGTCAGCCAATCAGGATTGAACCTGTCACCCCACACTCTGCTAAAGTAACTTTTCTGGGTTTTGCCTTTAAATAGTGCCCTCTAGAAGGGTGGGGGACCTCCTCACTGCTGAGTTGACGAGGTCCCTGCCAGCTTGTAACACACACACAATAAACCTTGTCTTTGCATTTCGGTGGGTCCGGCTCCCTGGTGGTTTTTTGGCGTCCTCACGTCTTCACATACTAGGCATAACAAGCTAATCACACTTACAAGGGGAAAAAATGCCTCTTGACTCATCTTAGGTCCAAAGCTGAGGTCATTCAAACAAGGACAGCTTCACAGAAGAAAATCATGTCAAAAATAATAGTTTTACATGACATGAGAGTCTTCACAAGAAAATGAAGACCAGAAGGACAATTCGGCCTGTGAATGTTTAGCCCACATTGGATGTGGGTTGTCACAGAGAAGTGTGACAGGACAACTGGGTGTCAGCTGACTGTCGCAGCTCCTGTTCAGCATGGCTCCCTGTTAGCATCTCCCTGTGAGCCGTCATTCAGAGAGGTTATTTCTCCACATAGGGAGCCCACCTCTCACATGAGAGTCATACAAACTGCAGAGGTGGGGGCACAGCAGAATTGAGGCAATCTGCTTCAACAAGTCCATCGGTGTGTGGGGTTGGGGGTTAGGAAAGGGTTTTGCCTGTTCCTTTGTTTTGCTGCTGAGGAGGCTACCCAGGCCTCATAAATGCTAAGCATGCACTATCAATGAGTCACACGGGCCTGCATTTTAGAGTAGCAAATCCTGAGCCCCATCTCATCACTCTGGAAGTCCATTATGAAACCACCAAAAGTGTTGCACAAAAGCGAAGAAAGTATTGATTTTAGTTACATTAATTTGACCTGATAATAAATACAAAGTCTAATTCAGTCTGTACAGCATGCGGTACATAACCTGAACCAGAACAAAGCTATGAAAACAGCCTCTTTGCTTCTCTCTCATAACTATTTGGACTCCAGATAATAGTAATTTTGTTTCCCTGTTTCTTTGTTTGTTTTGAACAGGGTCATACATACTCTTATCCCAAGCTATCTAACCTAGGCCAGTTAGTCTTGAATTCAGCAACTTCCCCTCCCCCACCATCAGCTTCCTGAGTACCAAGAGTAAAGGCATGAGCCACCACACCCAACTAGATCCAGAGAACTTAGCAATATGCTTTGGTGGTTTAGTGAGAACAAACAAATTAAAAACAGCCAAACAGTCAGGGCAATTAGGTCCCGCAGAGAAGTCAGGCGTGTTTAAAAGCATGGCCATCAGTTTCAAAGGATAAGGGTGGGAGCAGGCATTTCACTGGCAGGTCACCTCTCACAGAAATCTGAGCTCCTCCTCCACTGTCTCCATTGAGCTGTTACCTCCTCGAGTAACCCCAACATCCCTGCTACTTGAGTGAGTAATTTTACAGCCTGTTCAGTGTTTGGGATTTTATTTCTTTCACTGTATAAAACTTGACTTGCACATCATGAACAAAAATATTCAAGACTGGGGTTGGAGAGAGAGCTCAGTGGTAAAGAACATTTGTTGTTTTGGTGTTGTATGTTTATAGATTTATGTGTGCAAGTGTGTTGTCTACATGTGTATGCACCCTTAAGAGTCCCCGGGAACTACAGTTATAACTGACTGTGAGCCATCATGCGGTGCTGGGAACCAAACTTGGGTATTCTGCAAGAACAGCCACTGCTATTAACAGTGAGTCAGCTCTCCAACCACACCTGTTGCTCTTACAAAGGACTCAGGTTCAGTCGCCAGCCCCATATGGCAGCTCACAACCATCCAGTTCTAGGGGATCTGATGCCCTCTGGCATCCTTGAGTGCCTACACGTACATGGTGCATATAAACACACACATACAAACACACACACACACACACCATAAAAAGGAATTTTAAAAAAACAAAAGCTAAAATTCCTGATCATATGTTCTGCAGGTGATACATGCACATACATGCAAAAAGAACCACAAAATCACACTTTGTCACACCAACCCAACACCACAGCTTGTCTTCAGCCATGATGCAGAGAGAGGGTAGGAATTACAAATCAGAAATCAGAACCCCCTTGTTCAGCCCCCCGGGGAATCTGAAGTTCTGGATCAGGATGAACACACTGCAGGAAGCCTTTTCATTGCTTAGAAACAGAAGTATACAAAGGAGGAGGAACCAGCCCCTCCAAGTCAGAAGAGCCAGTTTTAGTAGACAAGGACTGCTTCTGTCCTGAACATGTATATACTAATTTTTCGGTGATTATCCACATATCACAACAATTTGCATGGCATTCATATGCTATTTGGTATTATAAATAATCTACAATCAGAAGGCACACAGAGGAAGACTGGCATGATGAACACACCTGTGATCCTAGCACATGGACATTCGTCCAGAAGAGGATCACTGTGAGCTTAAGGCAAGCCCAGTTCACACTGAGATCTAGGTCAGCCTGGACTACAGTGTGACAATAGTCCTCAAAATATAGAATACATACATATATGTGTACATACACACATAAAATAAAACAAGCAAGCATGCATCCAGCGAACACGACATGTGTTGGCTTGAGAATCTGCTGGTTTTGTTATGTGCTATGAAGAGGTGGCAGGTTTCCAAGAATCTACCCACCAAGCCCAAAGATATCAAGGACACCTACTTGATAAAGGTGATGACCTTGTGGAATTTGGGAGAGGTGTCTCTCCTCTCAGGTCACTGTCCTTCATGTCAGAGATCATAGCTGTACCAAGTATACATTTAAGACCCCATGTGTTCACTTCCAGCTCTCTTGTGCAGAAAGAAGCCATGGGCACTCTCAACACAAGAGGCTGGGTGGACATGTTCGTAGCCCCACCCTCCTTTAGTCAGTACAGCAGGAGCTACTACTAACTTCAGCATTTCACAACACTGAAAGTGGCAGGCACCAAGCTCTACCACAAAAGAAATCACTTTTAGTCAGCTTATAAGGCAAATTCTGTTGAAAAGCTGTTGTCTTGACTACTTTTCTATTGCCATGGAAACAGCATGACCAAGGCAACTTAAAAAAATAAAGTATTTAACTGGGGATGATTTCAAAGGGAAAATCCATGACCATCATGTTGGGGAGCATGGCACCAAACAGGCAGGCATTGTCCTGGAGCTGACAGCTCACATCTGATCCACAAGCAAGAGGCAAAGAGAGCTAACTGGGAATGGTATGGGCTTTTGAAGTTTCCATCCACAGGTGACACACCTTCTCCCACAAGGCCACACCTCCTGATCCTTCCCAAATAGTTTCACCAACTGAGTCTGTGGATGCCATTCAAACCATCACAGATATTTAGAAAAAACACCAATGACCATATAATAACACAACTAATGTGAATATCAAACATATCCACTGTTAAAAGTATACTTTTTAATTATTTTAAGTATCTGAAATATAAAACTTTCACTAAAATACTTATTTAATTCTTAAGTTTCAAACCAAATAATATCCCATTGTAATATGACCAAAGGGTGTATATTTACCACTTGAAATATCATACGCATGATTCAGAGCAAATTACCTTTTATGCCACCAAAGGGTCCATAAGTCATATTGCAGGCTGTCCTCTGAAGATGGTGCTCATACATTAACTTTATCTGATATTGGTTCCCATGGTCTACATTACCCAACGTTCCTACGGAGAAAAAAAAATAAAGGGACTACTTTAAATCTGTTTATAATGCTTTATATTAATTTCTTCTCATCCTCTCTATCAGCTTTAATTAAATTGTATTGAAATTTAAAATGACAAATTTGTAAAAGATAAGAACAATTAGCACACTGGTCACAGAGAAAGCCAGCACAGTAAAAACACTTAAATCTCAGCTAGATTACACCATTAGAGAAATAATACTGTAGGGAGCACTTTATTAGATCTTTGTATTAGACACACCTGAGTGAGGTATAATTACTTAAATGACAACAAGGCCATTTAATTTCAGTTCTAAAACAAATGCAGCTCCACTCCTTCAGTTATAGACGATACAGCAGGAGAGTCAACAAATGACAACTTTGAAACATCTCATTCTCTTGTCCACACTATCAAAATACCCAACCCCTTCAAACATGGTGTCCTAATTTTTTAAACTAGGGACTGAACCCAGGTCCTTGTGCAGACTCGGCAAGGGTCCTCCCACTGAGTCACATTGCCAGCCCTTATCTTCTAATGTAATGGAGAAATCTTCCAAACTTCCATCAACAAGTGAACTACAAGCTGCAGAGTCGAGATTGGGCAGAGTGTGAGGACTGAAAGTGGTGTTGGAAACTTGGACTTGGAAAGCAATTTTTCCATAAAGAAATAGCTCTCAAAATGCAAATGCTAAAGATGATGTTAAGGTAGTTTGAAGCAAAAGAAATAGCCAATCTGGTCATTCAGACCGTCTAAGTCTTGCTGTGGTTAGACAGAGTCATAAGCCCGGCACTGCGAGTGTCACAAACCATGGCAGCGGAGCTGCTGAAGGAGACCCTTCTCTCAAAGAAAAGGACACCCTAGGTGCACAGTTACAAATGAGCAGCTGCTGCTTTGGGAGTCTGCTGTTTAGGGAGTTGGTTTCCATGCTCAGAAAAAAATGCCAACAACCCCTGAAACTGCATAAAAATATATTTTTCTACATTTTAGACTAAAAATACCTTAATTATTCAAATAAATGAACGGAAGAAGTCCCCCTCAAAATCACAGTATTGAAACCAAGGCACCAGAGTCAGATATCATACACCCTAGTTCCTGACTACCTACCATTTTAGGAACTTCCAGGGACCCTGGTCCTCCCCAGGAAAGGCCCACGGGTACCATGCTGCTGCCAGCAAGACACAACCTCAAGACCTGAAGTTCTCTGGAGAAGCTCTGTGTCCTAGTTAGGGTTTTTATTGCCATAATAAGACACCAGGACCATGAACAACCTGGGGAGTGAAGGGTGTACTTCAGCTCACAGCTCCAGTGCTGAGGAACCTCGGGCAGGAACTGAGCAGTCGGGGAGGAATACTGACTACTGGCTTCCTCCCCATTGATTGTTCAACCAGCTTTAGTAAAGGACCCAGGACCAACGGCCCATGAGTGGCACGACCCAGAGTGACCTGGGCCCTCCCACATCAATCACCCAACTGGGTGGCATCTTCCCCAATAACCTTCCCCAGGGAGCTTTTCAGACACTGACTCTGCCACATGGTGCCAAGTCTTAACTTCTCTCCATGAACACGTCCGGCCATGGCAGTGGTGGCATGCTCTCTGCCAGCCCTCTGATGAGGAGGGTGGTGTGGTGAGGAGGAAAACTGAAGCCCTGCCACAGGACAGGGGGCCCACAGCTGTGCTCATAGCACCTGGACAGAGAAACAGGAGGATGAGTCAGCAAAGGCCACCCTGGGCTACCCAGTGAGTCCGGGCTAACCTGTACTACTAATGACACCCTTTCTCAAAATCAATCAATTAATCAATATAGGTGAGTAACTACCTCAATGGCATCCATCAATTTCTAGTTGGTTTCTTCTGCATACCACACCTCTTGTTATGAAGGTTGCCTTTAAAAGTCAACAGATTTTTGCCCCTAAAAGATCCTTGTCTTCAGGTTCCCATTGCTCTCAGGAGACACCATGACCACAGTAACTCTTATAAAGAAAAACATTTAACTGAATGGCTTACAGTTCAGAGATTCAGTCCATCACCATCATGGTGGAACACGGCAACATGCAGGCACACATGGTGTGCTGAGAGTCCTACATCTTGATCCACAGGCAACAGGAAGTGGTCTGAGACACTGGGAGTGGCTTGAGCACATATGAGACCTCAAAGTCTGCCTCCACAGTGACACACTCCCTCCAACAAGACCACACCTACTCTAACAAAGCCACACCTCCTAGCAGTGCCACTCCCTATGAGCTTATGGGGACCAATTACATTCAAACTACCACGAACCTCAATTTTAATAAGGGCCAAAATGCTGAAATTAAAGCACAACAGAATACGTATTAAACTTGTACCCACAGGACCACATCAGGGAATAGAACCCAATTAACCTCAAATTAAGTGTCCTTTGGTCTGGCAGAATGAAGCCAACAAGAAGCCAAGAAACTGGAACTAAAAAGAGAAAACGCCTGAGGTTTACCAAGAAAAGGACATTTCAAGCACTCTGGCTCAACAGCCAGTGAGGCCACTGCTGAGCATGGCTTCAGCCTCAGGGTTCGGAGGAGTCCAACCACTGCAGCTGGTCACAGGCTGTTCCGGACACAATGCCTGCCAACACGGAGATGATAAGAAACCCTCTGTAAAAGTAAGAATACCAGGACTTATGGGTCAAGAAAATGAGCATGATATGATCATGAGTGGTAGGGAAGGCGAACAGAGACAAGAAACTCCTCACGAACACTCTGTATTCGCTCCCAAAATCATCTCTACTCTGTTCTCCAGAGCAGTCTGTGACAAACTCCACATGAGAAGGAAATTCTCTTACCTGAAACAGAGTAGACACAGAGCTTTCTAGAATGCAGCACAGCCAAATGGAGCATTTCAGTGCCTCTGCAAAACGGGAAAGTTTCAAAAGCTATTAAGTATTAGTTTCAGATATAACCTAATTCAAACAGATCTCATAACTGCAGCTACAAGTTAATAAAGCAATTCCTGCTCACAATTCTAACTGAAAAATAATCACATCAGCAGGTACCTGCCTCTAATTCAAGCTACACAGAAAGCTGAGTCGGGGGAGCCGAAGTTCCAAGCCAGCCAAGTCTACAGAGGGGAACAGAGAAAGAGTAAGAAGAGGAGAGGGCCAGGCGTGGTGGACACAGCTTTAATTACAGCACTGACGGCAGAGGCAGGCAGATCTGAGTTCCTGGCCAACCTGGTCTACAGAGCGAGTTCCAGGTCCACAGGAGCAAGACCCTGGCTCAAAAACAGAGAGTAAAAAGAAAGGGGGTGCTACAGAGAAGGGTACTGAGGGGGGAAGAGGAGAGGGTGCTACAGAGAAGGGTACTGAGGGGGGAGAAGGGGTGCTAAGAGAAGGGTACTGAGGGGGGAGGGGGTGCTACAGAGAAGGGTACTGAGAGGGGGGGAGGGGGTGCTACAGAGAAGGGTACTGGGGGGGAGGAGGAGGGGGTGCTACAGAGAAGGGTACTGAGAGGGGGGAGGGGATGCTACAGAGAAGGGTACTGAGAGAAGGGAGAGGAGGGAGATGAGGAAAAGATGTTTCCTGAGCCTGAAACCAAACCTCTGGGCCTAAAAGATCAAGCCTGAGACTGTGAGTCTGCTCCCACTGCAAGGAGCTCCTGCTTTCTGACCAACTCACTTAAGACTTGTGGCAAGTCCCTTAATCCCTGAGCCCATTTCTCCCTCTGGAAAATAGGAGGTTTCCATTCAATTGGATGCAGGTGTGTGGAAGTACCTGACAGCGTGAAGAAGCATCGATGATGTCAGGATTAACGCTGGCACAGATCCCAATTCTCATTACAAGTGTTGAAAACTTTCATCTTCGACTAAATCTCAAATGGAAATAAAATACCACCATCTACAGTGCCCTTCCAGCCATGTCAAGTGGCTCCAGAGGCAGACACAGGGCACAGGGCGGAAAACCTTAATTCACGGGCTTCAGGGGACCAGACAGATGGACACTAATGAGGAAAGGCCGTGGAAGGTTATAATTAACTGAAGACTACAGCCAGGCTGAAGGAGGTGGCTACTATTTGGTTCTGGGCTTCTGGCCAGCTCTCCACAGTTTTTCAAGAAAAGCCAGAAAGCAGGGGTTTTATGTGAAACCTTCTAGTTCTTAAATATTAGCAGCTTTCTTAGATTTAAAGCACCACAGGCCAACATGCAGGCCTCCAGCACGAAATCTGTTACAGAGTCAATGGAAACTGCAAGGAGTAAAGTTAAAGTCTGAAGGCTTGACCTAACTCTAGAGCTTCTCCACGTGACCACTCCTCAGCCTGGTGCCCTCCTTACACAGGGACATCTGCAGGAGCTAACCCACGCACAGCACTGCAGACAGCTCCATAAATCAGCATCCATTGCTCTCCTGCCACACAAATGTGGCTTACACTATGCAACTACCACAGAATCAACAGTGCTTACAGAATTTTTTATGGAGCTGGATATTCAAAACAATGCATTCCCCATGTTCCAAAGGAGAACAAGATGGCTTGGAAAGACAGCACTGTATAGAGTCAGACACAACAGGTCTGCATCTTGGCTCTGTGACTTTAAACTCTAAAATTTCTTTATCTATAAATGCCGATCATTATATCAGGTAAGATTAGTGAGACAGGGCCAAAGAAGAGGTTCAGAGCCTAAACTCCAGATCTGATGCCCTTTCTGGACTCTATGTTATATATACATACATTCAGGCACACATATACACATAAAATAAAAAATAAATTAGCCTCTAAAAAAGATGACAAACGTGGAGAACAGAATCACTCCTTGTCACTCTTCTTCCTTCCCAACAACGGGTCACAAAAGTAAGAGGTGAACATGGGCCCACCATAAAGACCAGTGTTGATCAAAGCCCATGCCACAGGCCAGGCAAACACTGAGCCATCTCCATAATTGCTGGGGAAAGCAGCGCTAGACAGAAGAAAATCAAGCTGTTTGAACTGAGCTGCAACAGAGCAGAGCATCAGGAAGCAACTGCACTGAGAAGGAATTCTAGGATGATAAGGGCTGCCTCCTTTAAGGGATAAATCTTCCTCCCATCTCTCCAGCATAGCGTAAGGCGGACCTGCCTTCTGATGAGTGGTCCCTCAGTCAGGTGACTGAAGGCCCAACTGGAGATAAATACATGCCTAAAGCCGGAAGTAGACTCTGCTGTTTACTGTAACATACTGTGCTCTGGGGAGGGCACCCTAAGGTCACGGAGAAGAGGGGATGAAACTGTAATGGACATAAGCCATTTCTACCATGGAAACCTAGAGATCTGGCTTCAAAGCTGTTCACCAGAAGGGACTGATGTCAGAACTGGAGTCTCAGTTCCACCTGTGAATTCAGCCTTCCAGGCAGGCGTGCTCATTTAGGAGCTAAAAACAAAGCTCCCTTCTGACATTCCTGGTCAGAGAACCCAGGGGATTTTCAACATACAGCTAAAGACACAAACTGAACTGCCTGTCTCGTTTCTATGTCTTGTCCTCGTCGTTTCTCCTATGAAGACAGAACTCCTGGGTTGTACACATGAACTTGCACCAGCTGTGGTTACCTGCACAAGGTTAAACCACTCAAAACTCCAGGATGAACGGGGGAGGGGTTCACAGGCCCCACCCATAGCTGAGGAGCTGTGTGTAGCTGGTGATGCTGGAGAAGGATACTGTTCCCTTTGAGGTGTGGCCACCGGTCAGCTGCTCCTGCTATAGAAGATGAACCCATACCCAGACACGTACCAGCAGCTCTAACTAGCCTCAGTATTCATAATGTTTCAAAAGAAAAAGAAAGGAAGGAAGGAAAGAAGGAAGGAAGGAAGAGAAAGAGGAAGAACATGAAGCTGGGAATATTCAGAGGGAGTTAAAGGGTGGCAGGAAGATGAACATGATCTAAATGCATTGTATACATGAATGAAATTCTCAAATATCATATTAAGAATTATTTTAAGTCAGGCAGTGATGGTGCGCACCTTTAATCCCAGTACTCGGGAGACAGAAGCAGGCAGATCTCTGGGAGTTCAAGGCCAGCCTGGTCTACAGAGTGAGTTCCAGGGCAGGCTCTAAAGCTACAGAGAAACCCTATCTTGAAAAAACAACAAAAAATAAAATTTAAACTATAATATTGTAGAATGTTATTTTAAGATGTGTCACATTTGTTTGTGCTCTGGAACATGTGTTTAGTGATGTAAGGCTGTGCTGCTCTTGTTTGTGCTGCATTTGTTTAACTCCCTGAAGCTGTGACTCTCTGCCTGTCTAAAACACTTGATGGTCTAATAAAGAGCTGACCGGCCAAGAGCGAGGCAGGAGAAAGAATGGGCGGGGCTGGCAGGAAGAGAGGATAAACAGGAGGAGCAAGAGAAGGAGAGGAGGACAGCAGGGGACAGCCCCCCATTCAGCTACAGAGTTAGAGCGGAAGTAAGAGTTACAGAAGAGAGAAAAAGAGAACAGCCCAGAGGCAAAGCCAGATGGGATAGCTTAAAATAAGAAAGGCTGGCTAAGGAGAAGCCAAGCCAAGGTTGGGCATTCATAAGAAATAATAAGCCTCCGTGTTTGTGGTTTATTTGGGAGCTAGATGACAGCCCCCCCCCCAAAAAAAAAGTCAAAAGCTATGGCACACACCTATAAACCCAGCACTGGGAAGCCGGGACAAAGCAGCACCGGTCTATCCTGATTTCATTTTTATGATAAATAAAAATAATACGGAATGGTAAAAATGCATCAAAGATGCAAAATTCCTTTGAGTGCCCACCTTTGTAAATATAGCGTGTCTGTGATATACTGGGTTCACAATGACCCTTAGCCAGTACCTGCATTTATACGGAACTGAAATTTATCAACCACCTACATGACAATATCTCCCAGATTCAACCTGTCACCATCTATCTATAAAAGGCTTGTTTTTGTTGTTGTTGGGTTTTCTTCTTTTTTCTTTTTGGGGGATAGGGTGGACTAAGCAGGGTACCATATAGTCCAGACCGGTCTCAAACTCATTATGTAGCTGGGAATGACCTTGAACTTCTGATTCTCTTGCCTATACTTCCCAAGTGCCTGGTTTTCTGGCATGTGTAATCACACCCTGCAGGCCAAAAAAAAAAATCTTACTTCACACTGGCCTAATGTATTCATGATACATGTCTTCAACAAAATGAAGCAAATCACTAGAAGACAGTTCATACTTGTGATGGCTAGTTTTATGCCAGCTTGACACAGCTAGAGCCATTGGAGAGAAGGGAGCCTAAATTGAGAAAATGCCTCCACAAGACCTGGCTGTAGACAGGCCTGTAGAGCAGTGGGGGAGGGTTCAGCCCATTGTGGGCGGTGCCATCCCTGGGCTGGAGATCCTGGGTTCTATAAGAAAGCAGGCTGAGCAAGCCATGAGTGCAAACCAGTAAGCAGCACCCTCCACAGCCTCTGCATCAGCTCCTGCTCCAGGTTCCTGCCTTCGTTGAGTTCCTGTCCTGACTTCCTTGGATGATGAACAGTGATGTGGAAGTGTACGCCTAAAAACCCTTTCCTAGCCAAAAGAAAATGCAGACTGTGCATCTACACACACACACACACACACACACACACACACACACACACACACATACACTCACACAAACACACAAATAAATCACTAAATTAGTTCAAATTAAAGATACATGCTTCTACATAAAAAGTATTCAGAACATAAAGTTTGGCTTCATGACATGTATCTATAACATACATAATGCACAAAGTATTTTTTTAAATCCATAAAAGTGTCATCATAAGGAACAGAAACTCCCACACTCAGTGGGCTCTACTCACGAGACAAACTTCCCGACTTCCACCTGCAGCACGGGGTCCCGCAGATGCACTTCTAGGAGTAAGTCTTCAGCCTGAGGCCCATCTCCGGCTTTTACAGAATGGGGACTAAAGATTCTCAGGTAGCCCGTGAAGCTGCCCACGATGATTTTATCTGTAGACAGATTTTTATAGACAAAGTGACAGACAGGCATTAGCAAGTACCATTGGGAATCAACTTTCTGAAGATTAAAGAAGTCAAATTATTAAAAGATTCTAACCTTGCTTCAAGCATAAAGTCCTCCAACAGGTGATGTGACTAAAGGGAACAACCTGAATAGCACAAACCTTCTCAAAAATAGCTCGACATCACTAAAAGGCAAGGATACTAGTAAAATCGAGTGTGTTTTCTCTTTCTTTTCTTCTTCTTCTTCCTTTTTTTGTTTTTTTTTTTTTGTTTTATTTTGTTTTGTTTTGTTTTTCAAGACTGGGTTTCTCTAGTTTTGGAGCCTGTCCTGGAACTAGCTCTTGTAGACCAGGCTGACCTCGAACTCACAGAGATCGGCCTGCCTCTGTCTCACGAGTGCTGGGATTAAAGGCGTGCGCCACCACCACCCAGTTCTAGCGTGTTTTCAAAGCATCAATTGGTATCCATCATAGTCCAGCCCAATGAAAGTAAGTCACTGTCTCGAAAGACTGATGAAGATTACCAATTGGTTTCATCATGGAATGTTAATTCTATAATTGATTGCAACTGTTGAAAACACTCACTAGAATACCCCCATTAACAGTGAACGGTATTGGGCATGATACGGTGAAGGAAAGGAAGTGTATAGGAATTTAAATGGTGTCTCCCAAAAAGACATGTTCAAATCCTTGTTCCAGGTACCTGTGTATGTGATCTAGTTTGAAAACAGTCTTTGCAAATAAAACCAAGCTAAAACAAGGATACACCTGTACTTTAGGGAAAAGGCATAGAGGAATGCAAATGCCAAATAGTGATGCAAAGCAGCCAGGTGAGACGACACAGGAATGTAATCCTAGCACTTAGGAAGCTGTCTTTGTCACCCTTCTACTGCCTGTGACAAAGACAACTTATTAATGAAAATGTTGATTTGGGGTTTACGAGTGCAGAGCCATGACAAGGTACACATCAGCAGGCATGGCAGCAGGCAGGCATGGCACTGGAGTAACAATTAAAAGCTTCTTACAACCTCTCCCAAAAGTAGGAGGCAAAGAGAGAGTGTGTGAACTGGGAAGGGCATGGGTTTTTGGAACCTCAAGGCCTACCCCAGTGACACACCTCCTCCAGCAGGACCACTTCCTAATCCCTACGGAACAGTTCTACCAGCTGGGGACCAAACCTCTGGGGCCACTCTCATTCAAAGCAGGACAGAATCTGAGGGAAGACAGAGAATAAGCTGAGGGCTGGGATATGTCCATCTGACAATGCTGGCAGAAATTGGAGCGGAATGATACATCTACAAACCAAAGAGTATCTTTAATTACTAGAACTTAGGAGAAACAAGTAAGGGTCCTGGAGGCTTCAGAAAAACTGGAAGAAGGAGCTAAAGAGATGGCCCAGCAGTTAAGAGCTAAGGACCTGAGTTCAGTTCTCAGCTCCCACATGTTGACTCACAACCGCCTGCAAATGCAGTTCTAGAGTATCCAATGTCCTCTTTTAGCCATCACTGGATATTGCAACATAACTTACACCAGAAAATACATATATAGCACACATAAAATAAATAAGTATTTAAAATTAATACTAAAAGAGGCAAAGAAATGCTAGAAACCAGAGAAATAGCATGGTCCTGACAACAGTTTGACTTCCAAAGCGTAGCATCTACAACTGGGACAGAATATTTTGCTGTCATTGTAAGCCACTAAAGTGATACTTTGTTATCGTGATGCTCAGAAACAAATCTACATCTACCTTTCCTTTACACAGAGTTTCCTGTACCAGCCCATGGACTAAACAGTTCACACAGACTAACTCTTTAACTCCTCAGCAGGAAAGGAACTCCCATAGGGGCTTCAGTCCTAAAGAAACATAAAGCCATCAAGGATCCAGAAGACCCAATGGCAGCATTCTGGAGGTGTGTAACATCAGTGACACCAGGCTGGTTTCTGTCCTTGCCAAATCTCAGTCAGACAAGCTCTGCTTTGCAGCTGGAAGAGTGTTCGTATTCTCAATCTTTTCTTACTAAATTTATCATGATGTCCTACTTTTTGTAGCAAAAAATAAAAGTTAATTGATATAGAAATTAACACAGGGATTAAAATGTAAGCATAACTATCCCTGCAAGGAGGATATTTGGATTCTTGTGTTCTGTTGGAGCGCCAAGCAGTCAGACTCCTGACCATGCTCTAGGTGGGGTGAGAGAGCACCACTCAAAGACATGGAGCAGATAAATATTCACATTGAGTCATCTGGGACATTGTGCTCTGCCCTAGATTGCTTTCAGGTAACGTAATAAAACACCGACCAAAACCATGGACAGGAGGAAAGGGCTTATTTGGTTTATGGGTTAATCTATTATTGGGGTAAGTCAGGGCAGGAACCTGAAAGCAAGAACCAGAAGCAGAGACCTTGGAGGAACACTCTGCTCATGGCTTCTCAGCTTGCTTTCTTCCACGGCCCAGGACCACCAGCCCAGGGATAGTACCACCCACAGTGCGCTGGGCCCTCCCCCATCCATCATTAGTCAAGAAAATGCCCCACAGACTTGCCCCAGGCCTCTCTGATAGGGAGGCTCCTGAACTGAGATTCCCTAACTAGAGGTGACTGCAGCTGGTGTCAAGTGGCCAGAAACTAACCAGCACGTGCACACTGCTCATAGCATTGGGGTGGACTAGACATCTGTGCCTCCAGCCGCCCTGACAGAAGGGAGACATGCCAACATTTCCTCGGCGTTTTCTACAGATACTCCATAGCTCACTATGATACATCTAAAAATCAAAATTCTCATCTTGGGGTAAAGAATAAGACTCAGGTCTCTGAGACTCTTCAGAAAGAATTCCTTGGCATTTAGATCCATGAAACCTACCACTAAAAATCTAATTTAAAAATAAACTCTTCTGCACTTAAATCACAATGACACTTACATTGACAAATCTTGGCTCTCTCAGGTGAAAGTAATTTCACTAATCAGAAAGAATGGGGTTTGTTCCCATAATGAATTCACTAGAAGAGTGTGGAATGCTTGCTCCTTACTGAGTTCACCTTGCATGCTGAAATACCTTAGCCCCCATTGGACCTCACTAAATAACCAAGATTTGTTTGAATTCAATATAGCCCTTCAAAAATCAGAGGCAGGGGCTGGAAAGCTGGCCAGTGGTTAAGAGAACTCGTCACTCTTCTGCAGGACCTGGGTTCTATTGCCAGCACCCACACAGCAGCTCACATTCTCTGTGACTCCAGTTCCAGGGGATCTGAAGTTACACGTGACTGGTGCACAGACATACATGAAAGCAAAAATAACCATACACAAAACAGTAATAATTTTAATAATAATAATTTTTTAAAAATCGGAGGCAATGAGAACAGCCAAGTCTACAAAGGTAAAAGCCTAAGAAGAAAGAAAACACCTGGCTATTATAATAAGCAGACGGCAAAGAAAAGTTTTACCCCCAGATTTCAAGCTATGATAAATTTATTCATCATTCATTCATTCCAATGCGATTCCCTGGGAATCATTAAACAAAATGTCATTAAGACCTCTTCTGTTTTCTTTTTTCTTTCCCAAGTAATAGTTTCAAGAGGGCACTAAACTCTGTTTATCACATTAATTAAGGTGTTTTTTTTTTCCTCATTTACAAACATAACACTCCAGGTCCCTGAAAAAGAGCTACCTCAAGCTGCTAAAATAAGTCATGGCTTCTTGCCCATTGTCACACATAAGTCAAATTAGAGTCACATGAACAATGACAGTTTGGCTGTTACACCCATATGCCTAATATGAACTTTTTAAAATATGGATGGATGTTTTGTCTTCATGTATGTTTGTGTACCACATGTGTGCCCAGTGCCTACAGAGGCCAAAAAACAGCCTCAAATTCCTGGAACTGGAGTTACAGACAGTTGTGAGTTACTGTGTGGGTGCTGGGAATTGAATCCTGTCCTCTGGAAAAGCACTGTGTGCTACTAACTGCTGAGCCATCTCTCCAGTCCCTAAGATAAATTGTCCTAGGATTTTTCTCTAAGAGACTGTGGTGGTTTGAATGAGAATGACTCCCTTAGGTTCACAGATTTTAATGCTAGAAGTGGCACTATTTGAATGAATTAGGAGGTGTGGCCTTGGAGGATGTGTGTCCCTGGAGAGAGACTTTGAGGTTTCAGAAGCTCAAGGCAGTCACTCTCTCTTCCTGCTACCTGCTGATCCAGATGTAGAACTTTCAGATACTTCTCCAGTACCATGTCTGCCTAGATGCCACCATCCTTCCCGCCTCTGATAATGGACTAAATCTCTGAAACTGTAAGCAAGCCCCAATTAAATGCTTTCTTTCATAGGAGTTGTCACGGTCTTGGTGTTTCTTCACAGCAATAGAACACTGACTAAGACTAATGCTTACTTACACAGACGCACTTGGGAAAAGTAAATACTTATACTCTGCCAGTATCCTGAGTGCTGGCTTTGAGTTATGTTAATTCTAGAGGGCCAGAAAGAGAATGTTACAGAGGATGAAACTGGCAGACCAGATGTCCTAAGACTGGTAGAGATGACAGGACCGGATCGGGGATGAATGGGCTCATTAGATTTAAACAGGCGTAAGCACTTTCCTTTCCCGTCTTGTCTTTGTCACGATGGAACAAACACTCTATGCTATGCATTGTCCTCGTCTTTCTTTGGCTTTTTATAGCAAGTCTTTTTTTTTTTTCAGGAGCCATAGTCTCTCCACCTCCCACCCTCTGTCACTCACTCACTGCATATCGAGAAGAGAATTCTCATCCACCCTCATCGAGAACACTAGTTAGCAGCGGGGGAGAAGTAGTGCCCCTGCAGAGGACCCCAGCTGGGTTCTCAGCATCCCTGTCAAGTGGCTCACAACTTACTGCCTGAAAATTTCGCTACAGGAGATCTGACATTTGAACACTGCAGGCTCCTGCACTCATGTGCACATGACCCACACACAGCACTCATGTAATCTATAAAAAAAGTAATAAAAATTAACCTTTTTCTTTTTTATGCAAAGAACACTAGTGAACCACTTGCTACTAAACAGATCGAGAGCCTTCCATTCCTCTTGCCATTTAAAACTCTGCCTCTAAGCTGAGTTGTAGCTTAGTTAGTAAAGTGCTTGCCCAACATGGACAATGCCCTGGGTTTCATCCCCAGCATCACGTAAGAGCAGACATAGTGGCATATGACAGTAATCCCAATACTCAGGAGCTAGTAGCAGAAGGATCAGAAGTTCAAGGTCCTCCTCAGCTACGCAATGAAGTGGAGATAAGTCTGGGTTTTATGAACCCTTTATACAGAAGCCCAGCTTGAACTAGACCATTCTTAAAGACCTCTTAAAAGATGAATATTCAGAGAAGCAAATAATACAAGAACAGGACAGTAGCTGGTTTCTGTGAACCAAAAGTGAGAGCAAGGACTGAGCGATTTTCCCCCTCAGTAACAGAATTAGCATGATTTTATTATAGCATTAATATTTTCAGATTCAATTAGAAAACCACATCATGGTTGGGTGGTGGCACATGCCTTTAATCTCAGCACATGGGAGGCAGAGGCAAGCAGATCTCTGTGAGTTCGAGGCCAGCCCAGTCCACAGAGCTAGTTCCAGGACAGCCAATGCTAAACAAAGATACTCTGTCTCAAGAAAGAAAGAAAGAAAGAAGGGAGGGAGGGAGGGAGGGAGGGAGGGAGG